GGGCCACAGACTTCAGCCACCCTGTGGGAAGGGCATGGCAATCTTGCTCTGGAAGCATCATGGTGTCTATGCTCCTGTCTGGAAGTGCTCATGTACAGATCACTCCACCCTGCTACCATCCAGGAGGCAGGAAATCCAGAGCTCCATCCTCCAATCCCCTGTTGCCTGTTGGCTTGATGGACTTGGCATTTTTCCATCGGGAGTAACTCTCCCTAACCCCTGAGATGCTAGAGGGCTTCAATGGGACTTTTTTGGAGGCAGTAGTTAAAATGCAAACACCTGTTGAAATCAACTAACTCATTTCAAACATATTCTGTCCATTTGAAATTGAAAAAAAAAATCTTTCCTATGAAAAATAGTCTTCTATGTTAGCTGTTGGGAATGAACATACACATACCACAATTATGTAAGTTATAAAATATTTATCAGTACCAAATTAAATCCTTCATTAAAAATGGCAGCTTTTTGAGATTATAAATATTTCCTATCCTCGTAGCTTCTTGAAATGAAAGAGAATTCTGCTAAAACTCTTGAGATCCTGACTAAAAGATTTCAACATCTGTCTATTTCTAATACAGATGAGGTCATAAAATGCATTATTCCGCTAACTCTTGTATAGACAAGAGACTATTCTCTTACAGCTCTGAGATGTAGAGCTGTAAGAGAATCGTCCCAAGTCTACTCTTCCCTGATAAACAGATCCATTTTTTTGAAATTCCTATCTCATCTCCCAGAACATGGCATTTGTTCCTAGAACTATACAATTAATCTACTTTCAGCTCAGACTACAGTGAAGCTGTACTTAATGTCAAGAAAAAGGGGCATAAGGGAGACTGTCAAATAGGATTATTCAGAGGAAAGAAACCTAAGTGGATTTAAAATTGCAACCTGTCATTGCCTTCTGCAAGTCCTGCTGGAAGACCTGAAAAGTAAGAGCATTTTATCAAAGTATAAAACCTAAGAAGAAGAAATAACTTCTGGCTTTAAAAAAAAAAAAATGTGTCATATTAACTGCCATGTTTGCTTGGTGGCATAGATGGCTCAGTATTAAAGATGCTATATTGTAAAATTGTGTATGTGTGTGTGTGCATGTGCGTGTGTGTGCATGCATATGTGTGCGTGCATGTGTGTGTGTGTGTGTGTGTGTGTGTGTGTGTGTGTGTGTACGCAGCTGCTCCCCGTCTTCTCTACTTGATATCAGGTATTAAAAAACAAGCATATTGCAAGGATTTTTCTTATGGTCTCAGATGACTGATACCATGTATTCAGTAAGCATTCTTTGCTAAACATGTTATCACCCATTACCTGACCTATCTTGGGATGACACTGTGGATTCAGAGCTTTTCTCCTATTTCTTAGTTTAAAAAACAGAAAAAGGGAGATTTTCCCTTATGTTCTCAAACAGTACTTTCTGCTTTCTCCCTCAACCTACCTGACTTACCCCTACCCTGTCACCCCCCCCCCACCACTCTCCTGTGTTGTGTACATTGCTGTCTTAGAACCAAGAGCCCAGTGTTGGAGGCATAGCTTAGTGAGGCATGGCACACTCTTGAGCTCCAAATGCATTGCTCTCCTAAAGAGAAAGGAAGGCTTACCACATAGAGACCAAGCTTCAGTGACAGACCAGCAGGACGGTGGCCTTGTGTGAGGACAGTGTCAGTGCCCACCCTGATGCACTTTGCAAGAGGCCACCCTCCTTTGTGAGCATGGTGGCCTTGCTGCCTTAAGCCAGACATAAGCCAACAACAGAACCAACTTAGGTCTCCTGATTCCTTATCCTGAATTCTTGCCACCAATACCAATTCAGGCAGCCTCCTAAATCCCAATTTGCAATGGGAAAAGTGGATTGAATTGTGATTACCAATCAGAGAAATCCTCAGGTCTTCGCTAGGTCTCTGAGTTTATGAGTTTTTATTATCTCAAAGAGTTTCCCTTGAAAACCAGAAATGTAAAATCAAAAGTTCCAGGGAAGGAGGATGAAAAGGAAAATGATTAACGGCTGAACAAAAGAGCATAAACACATTTAAGCACTCTATCACTAGAATTTCTAATAATACACACACTTATTGTGGCATTCTAGAAACATCTGTTTTCTCAAGTGTTTTTCCTATATACATTAACTTTTAAATAAAGTTTTGAAAAGAAATAATTCAAAAAATGTTTATTTGAAAAGATCAATGACAGATACTAGATAAAAACAAGTAGAACTACTAATGAAAAATTAATTACAACCATTGATATCACTGAATTTAGAAAGTTTGTAACAAAATAGTTGATGTAGATATTGAACATTTTTTTTTAATGCGGAGAATTTAAGTGATAGTCAAACAATGTAAAGTCATTAAAATTAACTCCTCCCAAAGCAGAAACTTCTATAAACAAACACTTAACACAAAAGAGAACAAAAAAAAAAATTAAAATTGGTTAATGAAACAAAGTCACCAGGATACATTGCTTTAAAACTTATAATTTATAAAAATCATTCTCCAAATTACTGAAGCTATTTCAGAGTATATTAAAATGAAAACTTTTTCCAACTAATTTTGTACATTAGCATTACAATTCTAAAACCACAAAAATGGTGATATATGTATGTTTGTGTTCAACTATTTAATTCCCCCAAATTTATTTGAGCTACTTATCATAACACATATTTTGTAATTTTCTTTTTGTATGTTTGACAATATAATTGATAAATTATGCATATTAATTCAATATAATATTCTAACTATAACATATAAAATAATTAGTTAATGATACAATATTTTCAATATATAAATGCACATTTAAAAATTTATTAGAAAGCAAAGTTAGATGTCTTAGTGTTCAGATTTAGATGTTTATGCCCAATAAAGAATCACCATGAATGGATACCTCTGCAAGTATAGAGTCATGAAGTTGTACTATTTACTCAAACACTTCTTTCGCCATTCTGTTCATGAACAAATTTTATAAAATGATCATTGACTTTGAGTTCTAAATAGAAAAAAATTACACTTTTTAAAAAAATCAGGTTATGCAGTAACTTTCCCACTGATAAAAATACTGTAAAAGTTTCACAGCCACATTAGATATGTACAAATGCTGAGTAAAACTTTGTATCAAGTACTAAATAATATCACATTAAAACCAAGAAGGCTTTAGAAAAAAATAAAACAAAAAGCAGAAAACAGACTCAACACCAATAGATACAGATGTAAAATACATTATATTAGCATATTAAATAAAACTGCAATGTTTTGAAGTGCTATAGTGTAATTTGAATATCTTCAACACTCATTCCCAATTTAAATTCTAAATTAAGCTCAAACAAAAGGAATGATCAGAGGATAAAGACAATTCATAATATCAGCATAAACTATCATAAAAGGTAAAATCTTCACTAGGTCTCTGCTAGAGTTGTTCCGATCTATAATAAATAGCTGGCACCCCCGACTGTTGTTTGCATATTTTTACCCAACTTTTAAAATTTTATATCAAAAAGCTCATTCATATGCTCATTACCATAAATATTACAAATGTATCCTATATACTATTTAAATATGTGCATGACAATGAGAGTCTGGATTACAACTTAAAATCTTGCTTTCTCAAGCAAGGGGCAAAAGTTAAGCCCCAGAGTATTTGGGACAGGAGGAGAGAAGAGAAATGTACCATATATATTGAGGCAGATTGTTGCAAAAATTCAGTTATCAGGATTTATGGGGAGAACTAATGAAATTAATTTGGAAACCTAAAATTAGAAGAAATTAGCCAATGTATAATTCATAGTAATGTAATGTACCTAAGTATGATGTTGAGGGGCTCCACACCATCTCTTTGGTATAGAAATGTTGTTCAGGGTGGTGTATAATTACAACAGGAAATGGATTAAGGGAATGCATGCTTGGGGGACTCTGTGGGGTGCATATAGATTTTACTTTTAGATTGCTCACTTGAATTGAGTTCAAATCTTTGTTTCCAGTGACTAACCCACCAAGTAGCCAGCCATAGAATGGTAGAAAATAGGTGGCACTGGGGTTGCGTCACAAAAAGCTTTCTTGCCTGTTGGCAGACAGAACTGATCTGAGTGATCCAGGAGTCAGAAAATGGAATCAGAAGTTAGATGGTTATTAAAGCATAGCTGCTCATTCCCCACCAAGGATGCTAGGTAAATAGAAGAATCATTGGGATTTATGCAGATTTATACTTTACCCTCTCCAAACCATTTGTTTTCACTTACGAGATTTAGAATGTTTCCTTAATCATTAATAACACATGCTCAGTAGATCATTGATTCATTTAATTATACTTTAACTGTTCATCCCACAACATCAATACAAATGGGCAGGCTCCTTGCACACCTGATTCCAGTTAAATAAATAAATACATAAATAAATAAATAAATAAATGGAAGCTCCTGTCCCCAGAAAACACTCATGATTACAAACAAAAGCATTGATACCTAATCACATCACCCATGAGGTACGTTATGATTGTGTGCAAATGCAGAGGGCTTTCCTCTCCTCTCTTCTTGGATTCTTTCAGGGAGGTGTGTGTGTGTGTGTGTGTGTGTGTGTGTGTGTGTGTGTTTAAATATCTGTATAATATCTAGTGCTGAAAATGGTTCCAGAGTTGACATCAATAAACAGCACCCCAGTCCTGACCTCGTCTCTTACTGTGTTTCTGGTCTCAGCCTTACGTTTTGGTGAAATTTAGCCTCTCTAGAAGACTTAACCTCTCAGAGCCCCAGTTACCTCCTAAGAATCAACACTTTTTGAGAGTTTTGTAAAAGATACTATTATGTGCCCTTCCCAACAACCCTGTGAAGAGATTGCTAATAGTGTCCTCATTTTTCAGGGCGTGGAGAACCTGGCACAGGGGTGAAGTAACTCACCACTGGATACATGTGCAACAGGATTTGAACACTGGCCGCAACTTTGTGCTTCAAAGGAGTCCTCTGTGCAGCCCCTTCAAACAGCACCAAGAGTGAGGACAAAATGAGATAATGTCTGGGGACAGGGTTTGAAAAGTTCCAGCTTTAAAGATGAGAAGCTTAATCATGAACGACTGTTAGATCCAAACATACTTCAGGGGTCATCCAGCATCTGCCGTGCTCGCTGTTCACACAGTATGGACTCTCCGTTCTTTGGATATGTTATGGCTTAGATCTGAAGTGTCCCCAAAAAACTCACATGTGAGACTCTGCAAGAAAGTTTAAAGGTGGCAAGATTGGCTTCTGAAAGCCTTAACATAATCAATGCATTGTTCCACTAGAATGGATTAACTGGTGGTAACTGTAGGCAGGTAGGGTGCCTAGAGCATGCTTTGGGGTTTATATTCTGTCTCTGACCAACTATAGGTCTCTCTGGTTCCTTGTTGCCATGTACCCAGCTCCTGTCCTCCCCTACACCTTTCCACCCAGTTATGCTGTTTCACTTGGACTCAAAGCAATGGAGTTGGCTGCCTGTGGACTGAGACCTCTGAAACCATGAGCCCCAGTGAATTTTTCATCCACTAAAATTGTTGTTGTCAGTACTTTTGGTCACAATGATGAAAAATCTGATTAAAACAGGATAAGAGTGTCTCGATTCCCTCTACTTTCAGTCTCTGGGTTGAGTGGAATTGGCCCCCCTCCTGCCTCCAAGGATGAGAATGCTGCAAATGGTTGGCTTGTACACCTGTTGTGGATCAAGAGCAAGGGTAGCAGACAGCCAATGTTAGATGCCTGTATTCCTTCTATGCTGCAAAGCCTGGGCATGCCTCACCCTGAGGACTCAGCACCATGAGCAGTTAGTCAAAAGCTTTGCCTTTCTTTCTGAAGTCTCCCATGAAATAGCTACAGGGCCTCAGCTTCTCATGCACAGCAGCGCTCCAAGTTTCTTTAATATCCATGCCTAGGTGTCAGTGTAAGTGTAACCTACTGGTTGCATTCAAAAATAAAGGATACAAGGACCCTTGTCCTTTAGACAGTGTGTTTTCCTTCTCATTGCTTTTCATCACCCTTGGCATGTCAAAGGAGTAGCTGGTGCTTTCCATGACCCACAGTCCGGCTGATCCCACTTGCCTCTGAATGCAAGAGAGACGGCACCTCCATGCTGGTCCTGGGAAGGAACAAAGCCATCCTGCCAATGGACATAGAATTACAAACACCAGGTCTCTCACAGTGCGTCCAGAGAAGAATGAAAGCCACTTTCTTTTCTCAAGCTCAGTACATGAGGTCATGGTCCTTGCTGTAGTCTGGACAGCACAAGATGTAATTCAGAAATTTAATTAAAGTTGGAATCCACATTTATACATAAGAATGAAATTGGTGACCTTTCCAGGCCCAGAGATTTCTACTAACAAAACCGTCTATACAGAATATTATTAAAGAATGATTTGAACCAAGATAAACTCTGACTTCCTAAGGATTTTCCTGGGGTTTTCTTCCAGCCTTGGCTCCTTCTAGCTTTCTATTTCTATTTCTATGGTTTGATTACCCCTGTCCTGTTTGCTTCCAGTGCTGTCTTCTTCTCTCCCATCTCCCTTCTTTTTTCAGAACACTTCAGCTTGAGTAGTAGGATGTTCAGCCTCTGGCGGGGGGGAAAAAAATCAATGTTTAAACAGAAGAGCAAAATCAAGGCTGCAGCAGCAAGTAGAAGACCCTGAGCGGTCTGGACAAGGTGTTGCACCCAGCCGCTGTCCCTCAGAGAGAGCACATCACTGTCAGGGGCTCAGAGAGCCCCTGGCTGCATCACAGAACGGAATCCAGCGAGGCCAGGAATAGAGAGTAGAGCTCCATTCCTTTCCAACCTGTGCGTGCTAGTCAGCTTTCTGGCTGTTGCTACCAAAAGACCCGATAAGAATAATTTTAGAAGAGGAAAATTTATTTGGCACTCACAGTTTCAGAGGTTTCATTTTACAGATGGCCATACTTCATGGCCCAAGGGGAGGCAGGACATCATGGCAGAAGGGTGTGGTGGAAGAAAGTGACTCAGGACATGGTACCAGGAAACAGACAGACAGCATGAGCTCCTCTCATCATGGACAAAATATAAACCCTGAAGGCACGCCCCCCTTGACCCCCTCCTCCAGTCACACCCTACCTGCCTACCATCACTACCCAATTCATCCCTATCATCAGGTTGATGCACTGATTAGTTTGAGCTTCTCATAACCCAATCATTTCACCTGAAAACCTTTTTGCATCATCTCACACATGGGCTTTTGGGGAACACATCCTCTCCACACCATAACACCGAGACCCTCAGCTCTGTTCCATTCCACTTAGATGCTTAAAACAAGACCTTCCTTATTCCACTCACTAGAGTTTCAAGAACTGTGACCTCAGAGGTCTCAGACTCCTTTTCCTCTATTCTATAGCTCCGTGTAGTAATCACCTGTTAGGAAATGGCATCTTCTCTCCCTTACCTCCCGTCGTTCAGGTGAACACTTCCTAAGTAAATCCTGCACCAAGCTGCTCTCTTGGTTCAGGAGAGCTCCCTCTGCTGCAGCCCACTCAGAACATCTGCATGCAGCCTGAATGTTCCTGGTGCTGACAGCCCTGTTCTCCCCAGACTGTCACCATCTGGCCCTCAGCTGTGCACTTCTGAGAACCCACGCCTGCCGGTGCCAATCCTGCTCCACAGAAGGTGGTGAGCTTAGTGTTTCTCCAGCATCCTTGCCCAACGGCACTCACGTGCCTTGTATTTTCTTTCCTCTTTAGTACTCTCATCCTCCTAGGTTTTAAAAATAATAGTTCACATTTATCAACAAAAAATAAAATACCTCTTTTAATTATAAAAAAAAATGTTTTCAATTCATCTTACCACGAGACTGAAAGGGAGATGCAGATTTTCCATGTGATTTTCAATGTCATGTTATGGAAATATAAATAATTTTGCTAAGGGTTATGACATGCATACTTGGAAAGCAGTTAATTTTAACTGCCACTTTAAACATAAAAATCTGCTAATATCACTATAATCAAAACACTGTATTTCCCTCACTTTAAAAGATTGTGCATGCTCAAAACCACAATTCTTTTGCCAGCATTTAAAAATTACTTTTAAGATTGTAAATGGGAACAAAAATGTTGGTTCTTGTCATTTCTATATTAATTCAGTGTCCAATTATTCCTGAGTAACCAGCATTTGGCTCGATTAATTAGATAATCTGAAAAACGTTTATCAGTGCTTATACCAGGTCAGCAGCAAAAATAAAGACAGGCCTGGTACATGCAAACTTCTTTGAGGCTTGTAGGAGAGTATGAAACAGAAAGAAAAGCAAATAACTTCTCTTTAGCCAAATGCAGAACCACTGATACACAAAAGCCCTCCAGAAAACAGTATTTGATTTCTCAAGCATTTTGGTTTCTGTTAAGACAGGGTTATGCAATTTTGATTGCCTATTTATCAAGACAACTGGGGCTTTTTGTCTATAAATAAATAAATAATGACAAAATAAAACCTCTTACTCTTGCCTTTCTGATGAAATGTGTTTTTCAACCTCTGGAGAAATGAAAGTGACTATCAGAATTAGATTCCTGTAGGAAGATTTTCCTTTTCTCTTTTCACAATTTTTACCGCTGCATTATTATTACACATAATGGTGATCTTCGTTGTTACATTCATTCACATACAGAATGTAGCAATATGGTCAGTATCATTCCCCAGTACTTCCCTCCTCCCACCCCGGGATCCTCTCCTGTACGCCACTGATCTTTAGACTTTCATGAGATCCACCTCCCATCTTTCTTCTCCTTTTTCCTTTTTGGCTTCCACATATGAGAGAAAAGATCTGAATCTTAAATTTTAAGTTCAGCTTACTTTGCTTAAGAAGATGTTCTCAATTCCCATTCATTTACCAGCAAATGCCACAATTTCATTCTTCTTTATAGCTGAATAAAACTCCATCATGTATATGTACCATATTCTCTTTATCCGTTTATCCATTGAACACCTAGGCTGGTTCCACAGTTTGGCTATTGTGAACTGTGCTGCTGTAAACATGGATATCATATATCATTGTAGTGTGATGACTTTAATTCATTAGGATAAATACTCAGGAGTGCTATGGCTGGTCCATATGGGGGTTCCATGACTAGTGGAACTAATTTTCAATCCCACCAACAGTATAGAATGTTTCTTTTTCTCCACATCCTTTCCAGCTTCTATTATTATTTATATTCTCAATGGCTGCCCTTTTGACTAGAGTTGAAATCTCTGTGTAGTTTTGATTTGCATTTCTCTAATTGCTAATGATTTTGACATTTTTTTCATGTATTTGTTGGTCATTTGTATTTCTTATTTTAAGGGTCTGTTTAAGTTTATTGTTGTTGTTTTGCTCATTTATTAATTGGGGTATTTGGTTTTTTGGTGTAAAGGTTTTTGAGTTCTTTATATGTTCTGGATAGATTCCTCTATTAGAAGAGTAGCTAGCAAAGAATTTTCTAATTTTTTGTACATTATTCCTTCACATTCTTAATTGTTTTCTTTGCCACACAGAAACTTTTTAATATGATGCCATCCCATTTATTAATTCTTGGCATAATTTTCTGAGCTTTAGGGATCCTTTTGAGAAAGTTGTTTCCCTGCTCCAATATGCTGGAATTGACCCTATGTTTTCTCCTAGGAGTTGCATAGTTTCTGATTCACTTTGAGTGGACTTTTATGCAGGGTGAGAAGTAAGGATCTAGTCTCATTCTTCTACATTTGAATATCCAGAATTCCCAGCACCATTTGTTTAAAAGATTGTCTTTTCTTTGGTGTATGTCTTTGGCACTTTTATCAAAGATTAAATGGCTGTATCTCTGTGTGTTTGCCTCTGAGCTTCTAATGTGCTCCATTGGTCTATGTGTGTGTGTTTATGCCAGTACCACGTAGTTTTTATTGCTAAAGCTCTGTATTATAGTTTGAATCCAGACATTGTGATGCCTCTAGCAGAGATTTTTTAGCTTAAAATTGCTTTGGCTATCCCAGATCTTTGATTCTTCCAAATGAATTATAGGATTAATTTTTCTAGTTATGTGAGGAATGTCATTTGGTATTTTGATGGGGGTTGGATTGAATCTGTATATTCAGTGGTATGACCATTTTAATAATATTAACTCTGCCTATTCTTGAACATAGAAGGTCTTTCCATTTTCTTGTGTCTTCTTCAATTTCTTTCTTCAGTGTTCTGTAATTTTTATTATAGATATATTTCACCCCCTTGGTTAGATTTAGTCCTAGGTATTATTTTTTAGGCTATTGTGAATGGGATTGTTTTCCTGACTTCTTTCTCAGCAGATTCATTATTGATGTATAGGAAAGCTATTGATTTTTGTGTGTTGACTGAACTTTTTATTTCTTATTTTTATCTTTCCTATTTTAATTGCTCTGGTGACAATTTCGAGTACTATATTGAACAAGAATGGTGACAGTGGACATCCTTATCTTGCTCTGAATTTAAAAACAAAGGCTTTCATATTCTCCATTCACTATGATTTTGACCTCAGGTTTGTTTTATATAACCTTCATCACGTTGATTAAGTTCCTTCTAGCCCTTGTTTCTTCAGAGTCTTCAGAATGAATGGGTGCTAAATTTTGTTTAAGGCTTTCTCTGCTTCTCTTTAGATGACTATGCGATTTTTGTCCTTAATTTGATTTATGTGGTGAATTGCATTTATTGAATTGCATATGTCAGTCCATCCTTGCAAACCTGGAATAAAACCAACTTGGTTATGATGTACAATCTTCTTAATATGTTGTTGAATACAATTTGCTAATATTTTATTACGAATTTTGCATCTCAGTTCATTAGTGATATTTGTTGTTAGTTTTCTTTCCTTGATGTACCCTTATCTGCTTTGTTATGAGAGCAATACTGACTTCATAGAATGAATTTGGAAGTAAGTATTCCATCCCTTTTTATTTCATGGAATAATATGATGAGTGTTGGTACTAGTTCTTTATTAAAAGTCTGGTAGAATTCAGCTGAGAATCCATCTGGTCCTGGGCTTTTCTTTGAATTCTTTATATGGCATTTCATCCATTTATATATCTTTGGAGTCAGTTATTAGTGAATCATGAACTTTAGGAGATGTCCTATTACCTTGTTTTTTTTTTGTGATATTTCTTTGTATTTTTGTGCTGGACATTTTACATCTGTTGGCATGCCTCTCTTGTGTGTGGATCTTTTTAGGGCATGGACATCTCTTGTTAAAGTTTTTGGATATAGATTGCTCTAAATTGTTTAATATATTTTCAAGTGGATTTTGTGGTATAGTTTCCCTGCTAGTTCTTTGGTGATGATTTGTATATTTCGATACAGTGTGTATTGTGTCTCAGCTTCAGGATTCCACTTTTCCAACAGGTCTCAAAAAGTGCAATTTTTCTTGTAGATCTTGCAGATTTGTTATATTCAGTAGGTTAAGTAAAGTACACCCTTGGTGATTGTTCTTGTGCTCTTAACATCTCTGTGGAAATTCTAAAGGGATATGGGAGTGATCTAGGTCATATTTCATAGGTATGGTGTCCAAATCCTTTGTGTTAATTATCTGTTTTTGCTGTAGGATTGGATGTCCATGAGCAGGATCTGAAGGCCTCCTAGTCATGAGGTCCTGGTTATTAATTTGGGGTTTTGACTTTTCTAGTCTTTGTATTAAAGTGCTATTGAAGTCTGAATGTGATTAGTCTGCATCTGTAGCAAGGTGCCCTGTCTCTTGACTGGGTTTAGCTCAGCAGCAGGGTCTCCACACTGTGAACCTGTAGCATCCCAGGAGATTCCCAGCACCCCCTAGAAAAAAGGGGAAAGCACAGAGCAGCAATCACAGAAGCAAATACACAGCATTAAAATAAACAGCTACAATAACAACTGCCACAAAAATAGATGATGTTTTTGCCAAAAGCAAAAACATTGAATATCCATGAACTAGGTCAGACATTCAAGTAATCAGCAGGTGTCCCCTATGCCGTCCACAGTACTAACAACTGCAACAACCTAAATGGGACAAGACTTATATAAACCAAATGGTACGAAAACACAGTAAAAATGCAGCTTGTTAAGAGAAAAGAAAATGTAATAGAAAGGTAGAAGAGGGTTTAGAATGTTCAAAATGCAAGCAGAGAAAATGCAGAAGAGATGTAGCAACTGATGACCCTAAAGGAGAAAAGTAAATAAAAGAAACAAAGTAAGGGCCAGATGCGGTGGCACTGGCCTGTAATCCCAGCAGCTCTGGAGGCTGAGGCGCGAGGATCACGAGTTCAGTGCCAACCTCCGCAAAAGTGAGGTGCTAAGCAACTCAGTGAGACCCTGTCTGTAAATAAAATACAAAATAGGGCTGAGGATGTGGCTCAGCGGTCGAGTGCCCCTGAGTTCAATCCCTGGTACTCTGCCTCAAAGAGAAAAGAAATGAAGTAAGGAGAGAAAACAAGATACTTTGACTATTAGAGGGAGAAGCTAGGAGAGAAAGAGAAACAAATAAAACAAAACCAAAATAAACAGAAAACCCTAACAAAAGGCAAGACAAAGAAAAATAGCAATCATAAAAAATGCTAAAAAAAGAAACAAGTGTGTGCTCTGTGCATGTGTATCTCCATGAACAAAGCTGCACAGTAAGAACACCGTAGAGAGAGCGGGAAAGAGGGAGAGAGATTCTTAGCGAAAAATGAGAAAATTGTCTTCACTGAGGTGGTCAAAACTATTGACAGGAGAGATGGTCACTGCCTATGCCTGACTGTCCTTCTCTCCATTTCTTCTTGGGCTGTGTGCCCTTGAGAAAGCAAAGACTAAGAGCTGTTCAATCCTTCCTCTTGTGTGTTCTCACTGAGCCACCAGCTGGAGTGGCCCAAGCCTGAGGCTGGTTGGAGGAGCCTGAACTTCCCTCCCGGCCCCCGCCCCACAAGGTAGGATGGAGTGGGAAGTCCTGGCCACTGGAGTGTCCTCAGCACACACCAGGGTGGGACTGCTGCAGGGTTCTAGGAAGGCAGTTTCCCTGGGGCTTGGGTCTAATCAGGCCTTAGGGGCTTTGCTGGGTGTAATCTGCTGTGGAGGGTCAACAGCCCCCCGAGGGTCTGGAAGATTCCAATCTCTGCTGGGAATCTGGACCTTAGAAGCTTTCTAAGAATTCTACTCCTAGGGCAGGGGAGTTGCCCTCCACGGGTCCCACACACTCCATAGCCCACAAATAGGTCTGCTCAGCCGCAGTCACTGAGTGTATTCACGTCTACCTCATTTTCCTGGGCCTCTTCAGGTGTCACAGGAGCCACCAGACTCAAAGGTGAGAGAGTTGCACTCCCCAACATATCTGTGACTTGAATCCCCCTGGGAACAATCTTCTCTGTGCCTATCTCACTCCCATTCTTCTAGGTACACCCTAGACCATCTGTTAGGTACATGCCAGGACAGACGGTGATGTTTACTATGCTCTTCCAAGCTCCTGAAACAGCAAGTGACAGCCTAGCCCCCTAGAGATGGCTCCTGCCTGCCACTTGAGACACAGAGCACTTTTCAAATACCAGTTTACTGTGCAGCCCCTGGATCTGCTAAGCTCAGCCTGTTTTTTCTGCTCTTCAGGTTTCCCCACGTTTCCTGTTTGAGCTATCCCTCCCCTCTGCAGTGAGTCACCATGGCTACCATTGCCCCAACCAGCTGGGCTCCAATGTACCCTTTCTTGTCCTTTGTTCAACGCACCCAACTGTCTGAGTTTCTAAGAGACTCTCTGACTGTTTGATATTGAATTTCAAGGAATTCCCTTTTTTTACTCACCTCACTGAGAGGCAGTACTGCTTGAATCCTGAGCCCTGGAACAATTGGAAAATTTGCCTTCCTCCAGTCCGCCATCTTGAATCTCTCATGGGGAACTTCTTCAGTCTCCCCATTACCTTTCTATTCCAGTGTTCATAAACTTTAACACAGAAGCTTTGTAAAAATGCAGATTTCTAGGTCTGGTTTCTAGGTCAGATTTCTAGTCTCTGATTCTGTAGGTGTGGGTGGGACCTGAGAATATCCAGTTCTGCCTGGTTCTCAGATGATGCTGACTCTGGTCTGAGGACCCCGCTTGAGAACTTGCTCTATGGCAGGCTGGCTGCATCTCATGAAACCTTCAGGTTCTGGAGATGTGGCCATTTCTTATCTACCATCAACTCTGAACTTCTTCCCCAGCCTCAGCAGGTCCTGTCTCACATTTGGTGCTCACATGCTTCACACATTTAGAGAAATTTGTACTTATGCCTTTTTTTATAGACCAGGTTTGTAGTTATGCCTTTTTTTTTTTTTACACAGCAAATTTGGAATATATATATACCAGACTCCAGTAATGTAAAGCTACAGACAGCTTTCCTTTTTTTCATATACATTGGTGATTTCTCCCTCTAATTCTAAAATAGAATCAATCAATTTATAGGGGAAAGAGTCCATAGTTTAGGTTGAATCCAAATCGTATATGTTAAAATCTTGGAAGACCAGCAATACTGATGCTCCAAGTTCTAAAATTCATTTCATCCTCCTCACCTGGCTCCAGTGTGGGAGCTTGAGGACCCTCTTCCTTGGTCACACCCCAGGTGACCACCTAACAGTGCGCTGTGTGAAGCCTTCTCTTAACTGAGGTCACATGCCCCCATGTCTTTGTACTATTTTAGCAGACAGAATTCCTTTGGTTGTACTGTGCTAAATTATGCTCTTCTGATGTCCCAGTGCCTAAAGTTTCAGCTGAATTTTGATCTCTGGACTAAAAATATTTTATTATTATCAGGAATATAAATTTAAAAAATATATAAATTTATATAAATTTAAAATCCATTAGGTTTCCTAAGAAAGAAACTCTTGTTGTTTTAAATATTTTACATCTTTACTTAATCAAATTGTAATAACTTAGAGCTTAAACATAAAGCCTAAATTGGATTAGTGAAATCATAAACAGTTGCAACTACAAAATGTTATTGTAAATTATGCAAAAAAAAAAAAGTCAAGAATCAAGATTCTAGAGCTGTGTCTGGGGAAGCAGCTCAGTGGTAGAACACCTAGTTAGCATGAGTGGGGCTCCAAGTTCAATGCCTACCAACCCCCTTCCTGGAAAAGATTCTAGATAGACCTACTTTTGATACTAGTCTTGGAGATCAGGCCCTCATTCCCCAGGTGTTGAAGATTAAACACCCGAGGAACACTGAGGCAAGTGCAGAAAGCAAGTTTTATTTAAGAAAGAGAGAGAGACAGACATCTCTGCAGCAAAGTGGGCTGAGAACTGTGTGCCCGGGACTGGATGTGCCTTGCTCTTTCATAGAACCCCAGAGCCCCCCACTTCTCTTTTCTTCTCCCTGTAGGGGCCTAGGGGTGGGAAGGAACAGTGTAGGGGTTAATCACTTGTGTTGGGAAGTATGATCCCCAGAGATGTTAGCAAACGCTTGAGCTAGAAAGTGTGATCCCAGAGATGAGCTGTCATCAGAGATAACCCGCCATCATCCTCTCTGTACCCCCATCATTCCTTATCTACACTGCCTGGCCTTCCTCCCCCTGAACTGCCTGCCAGGCCTTCCTCCCGCTGCCTCAGTTTGTTAAGGAATGTGTTATTTCCTCTCCCCTCAGGCCAGGTGGGGCTGCAGGCAGATGGCTTTTTGGTAAACAAAGCTTGTGGGGAGTCAGTACAATGGGCTCCTTTTATAGAGTTGTTCCCTAAACCTCGTGTTCCCACCATCCTCCTGTATTTTTCCCCTGACACTTCGACCAGTGGTTGACTGTAAGACCTCCAGAAAAATAACAACCCCTCCGTCAGACACTGAATTTCCACATCAAGAAGAAAAAAAGTATATAAGTGTGTAGCCAAACATGCAGACCATGTGGGACAGGGGGACCCTAATGAGACCATCATGGAGTTCCTGGGCCAGCCAAGTTGGTGAGTCTTTTTCAATACGTAGTAGACAATGAGCTATTTCTCTTTCAGGAAACCCCTCATAATTTTACCCATGAATCCTTGGATGGTGACCCCTTGCAAAAGACATTCGGTTACAAGGTAATTGTAATATTTAAAATATATATATATTATCTATGAATGGACTGTGTTAAGGAACTAGCCTCAGCCTTACCCATGTTGGCACGAGCTCTGAATTCGTCTCTGGCATCAACTTCTTTGATGGCTGCTTGACACCTGCGCTCTCTCAACCACACAACACCCATACAGCAGGGAACTCAAGTGAAGTCAAAGGTCCTGGGTACGGAGCCCAGGGCTGCAGAGGAGATAACCTTGACTATCAGAGATAAAGTAGGTCTTCAGGCCTTCACCATCCTGTGCCCCTCTCTCCACTGCTGCACCACCTTTTCTCTGCAAATTTGTACAGACAATTAAATGTGAGATCAAAGTCTGTGGGAAAAACACACTAAAATGTAACCAAACAATATTCCGAGACTTTCACATTCTGTGTTATCTTCAGGTACAGATAAATCCTTGGTTGTGATTATAAATGAAAAAAACACTTATTTTCCTACTCCTGAATGTAAATGTTCAAGGCAGTGACCCCTGTTTTACATGGACCTACTTTAAATGGTCCTTTTCTGGAACAGATTACTCTCCTATGATCGACATTGCCTGACATTTTAAAATGCCTGATGGAAATAATAAATTTAACCAGCCATCTTGCCCAGGGTAACTAAAATATCAAATTTCTTTGGCTTCAGCCAACATTAGGTCTACCCAGTGTGGTAAACCTGCATATTTTATGCTGATCAAAGGCAGTGATTTTCATTTCATTAATAAAAGTCTGAGAAGGGATTTATTATTCATTAGATACAGTTTGGTGAGCAAAATTTTTTGAAATATAGGGCCCATGGTGAGTGAGTGGAAAAAAAAAAAGTGTTCCTTAATACAAATAGATTGGGAGTCAGCAATACTCAACAATCTTAAGTTTTACAGAAGCAGAACTAAGTCCAGTTGAGGTTGCAACTTGCCAAAATCCCCTTCCAACTCTGCAGTTTTATTTGTCGACTGATTCAATGCTACATTCCTTAGCCTTCCACATGCTATAAGGTTTAATAAATCTCACTGGTGATAAATATATTCAACCTCAATTCCTCCTGGTTCAACTAAAATCCATTTCCTCTGCAGGTAAATTCCATTCCATCATACCTTAGGCAAGTGGCTGATTAATTAAAACAATCCCTCAGCTTGTGTTCTAATGGACTCATGCTCAGGCTTCGTTACCTTAATGCAGAAATCTCTGCTAGTAAAATTTATTTTTAGAAAATATTTGCAACATATGCACTGAATCCCCTCCATAGAACATGTGGCCTTAAATAATGAGGGAAAAAGAGTTTGGCAAAAGCATTTTGTGTTCTGCCAAACCCAGTGAGCTAAGCAAAATGGTTTGTGAAATTTAACTAACTCCAAGGTGGTAGTCCCTGCTTCCTCTCTCTTTTGTCTTCAAGAACAAAGAATTTATAGCATTTTCTCAATGTATAATATTTAGATTGTCATGTTTGCTTTTTGTGCTTTTATCTCTTGCTTCTTAGGGAGGTGGACAAGGATGTTAATTGAAAGAAATTAAGAAAATGTTTGAGTGATCTTTTGGTTATTGTTGCTAAGGGCCTATTGGGAACTGCTTGATGAATAAGATCCACGTGCTTTATTTTGTCTGTGACTCATCTTAACATTTCCGTAGAAGATTAAACATTAAAATTAAGGAATCCCCTAAAATGCTGCGGAGATGACATAAGCCCCTTTGATTAGACACAATTATTAACTTCTCTTGGGCCCCCAGAGACCTCAGATGGGCAAGATCTGCCTCCAACAAAGATCTTATAAGAAAGCCAACCTCAGACCCAATCATCCTTACAAATAGACAATTATTTAACAAATCACCATTAAAGAGTATGTTCAAAACCAGATCTTAACAACCTGCTTTGTTAGCGTGGTGGAGGTGTACTGGCTCTCTGCTCTGCGGGTATTCTGCAGGACAGTTTGCTCAAGATAAAGGAACAATAACCCACAGGAGGATTCTGTGGTCTGCCTTGTCAGCTGATAAGCCTCAGACCCAATGAACACGCGCAAAATCCTCTAGGAGTCTGGCCTGGGTCCCCTCCCTCCTGCACAGACTTTAGGTTTCCTGGGATTCACACAAGCAGAGAAAATTTCTAAATACCTTAGCAATTCACGAATGCCTTTAGACTCACCAATGAGGGCCCATTTCTAACTTGCATCATGCCTATAAATAAACCATGAGTTTCCCCAGATAAAACCCAGCTCCTGACATTTGCTATGCTAATTAGCCAAGACTCAGGTGTCGAGATGCAGAAAGCTGAAGTGCCTGTACAGGTTACCCCCAAAGACAGGCATGTTCTAATAAATCTCTTGCTGACCATCTCTGAAATTCCCCAAAAATCATTGACGGACCTTTGATTTGAAGCTGAAGCTAACAGTCACATCTCTGATAGTTTATTGTTTTTTTTTTTTTACTGAAGCATTTAAAAATAGATTAGACACTTCAACCAACCAAGACTTGACTATTATTGCTATTAAACATCTTCAGATTACATTTATAGCAATAACTGGTGAAATGTCAAAAGGAACTGTTTAGAGTCATCTCTGATTGAATCTCTAAAGCTGCTGGGCATTTGCCTGGTTTGGAGAGTTAATTTTCACTTTACTGTGTGCATTTCCTTTTACTACTGACCTTTATCAGTAGGAATTGGTAAATACTATTCATGGTGGAGGTCTTAGTTAATTGCTGCTATGTTAATCTTGGGGATTTTCAACCTGTTCCTTTAATTCTTGCTGGTACAAAGCACTCAGAGATAGAGCTGCTTTTATAAACAAGATGAGCTTTAAAGGAAAAAGAATGTCACTGTGCTGTTCTTTCCCTTTTTAATGCTAGTTGCTAAGCATTAGAATTGTGAAATCTATTTTTAAATTTAAAAGCACTTTCATTATCTTGCTCTTATGAATTCCTGGGTACACAGAGGCATGTGCTGAGATGGTGAGCAGGACTTGACACTGAGCGGACAGAAATGACCATTATGACCAGTCCTCTGAAGAAGTACATTCCTAACTGGCATTCCAGGAAAACTAGCAGGGCCAGAAAGGAGTGGCTGGAAACGATTGTGCTTTAAGCCCTCGGTGTCAGGGGAAGCCAATTGACCATTGCTGAGTCATGCTGTGGTCAGACCCATGGCCAGTACTTCTGCATGCACTCCTTTATTAAATACATTCACCATAATCCCATTAGGGATGGCAACAATATGGAGCTGCTAAAGTCCACGTCTCTGAGTCATGAAGACCTACGTTCCAGTCTTACCCCTCCAGCCGTTAACAGGCAACAGACAGACATCAGGGGTCTGGACATAGGGATAAGGGAATCATTCTATGATGATCCTCAGCTGCACTGACCCCACATGTTTTTTTTTTTTTTTTAAGCTATTTTCCTGCAGCCCTGCCTGGTTTAAGTCCATAGGACATGCTCCATTGGTCAGCAAACACTTATTGTCTATGGGAGAAATGCAGACCCCAAGGCCCCTCCCTATCCGTAAAGATTCAAGTTACCCTTGAATGGGGACCTTTGTGACCTTCATACAGACCAGATTCCAGAATTCACGGAGGCCCAGGGTTGCCTTGGCACTTAGCAGGTCATTATGGTTGTCAGCTCTCCTCTCCATGTGGCACCATGATGCCCAATGGGGATTCAGAAGTCTGCTGCCATCCTGCCATCAGTCAGAAGGGAGACCTGGGTGGGACTCTGAACACTCCCCTTGGGCTCTCTGTCACATAGGTGGGAGGAGGGGACATCATCTTTCTCCCCTCAGAGAAGACCCACTCTCTCCTGTGAGTGTCCCCTCTTCCTTTTACTGTCCCCATACCTGCCTCTCTGAGCAACACTCTGACATCTTTCTGGTAGAGATTGATGGAACCAGAGACCTCGGACCACTACACTGCCTCAGCTCCCCAGAGGACTTTTGTTCTGTGACAAAGTCACCATCATTGCCAAATCACCTGACTCCTCTCGTGCTCAGTTTTGTCAGGAGTGAGGAGCACCATTCACCTTACGGAGCTGGGCTGCTGCGTGCATGTGTTCTCGTGAGGAGCACAAAAACAGACACATTTCTTTGCACAATTTCTTCAATGGTTCTGGAGTTCAAACTAGAGCCTCACACATGCCAGGCAAGCACTCTGGCATGGAGGTGCACCCCTAGCCCCTTAAACTCTCTTCCTATATCCACAACATTTCTAAGACCGAGGTACAGCTTTTCCATACCAGCAATTCTCCAGTTCTCTGTAGACACAACGGGGTGTCCTACAATTGAACCCAGAGTCCCACGAGACTGCCCCACTCCAGTCACTGCAGCAATAAGTTACCTGTACTTCTGCCAACATGGTTGCAAGTCAGGGTTCCCAAGATACCCTTCTCAAGTTCAACACTCTTTAAAACTTACAAGTTTATAATAAGAATGCAACTCAAGAACAGCCTCGTGGAAGAGACACGCAGGAGCAGCTATGGAGGAAAGGGCAAGGGGTTTCATGGATCTTGGACTGCCTGCTCCGGAAGTGCGAAAATGAATTTCCATTGTCTACCCTGCACCTAGTCTGCAGTATTTGCATGGTAATTCCAGCAAACTCATTGAAAATGTAAGTATTTATTCACAGACTGGTACTGAGTTAATTTAATTAAATATCTTTAAAACAAAATGTTTCATTATCAAACAACTTCAATGTAGAAGTTAATGTAAATTATTTTGAAACAAAGTATCTTCCAAGGGGCAGATCAACAAATGGGAATCATTTTAAGGAGTGCTTACACTTTCATAGGATAAAAAGGACAAGTGAAATTGAGCTTTGGAAGCATCTATTCATTTCTGGTGTATGCCGTCATCAAGAATCTGCTGTGCCCTCTATGCTGAGCTCAGGTGAGACAAATTTAACACTGTCCCTGCCTTTTAAAAGCTCAGAGGTAAACAGCAAATCATGCATTTTATAAAAACATTCCAATGGCTCAGAGAGGTGGTGAATTAGGAGTTTTCTCATTTCCCAGAGGGAGAGGAGAAAGGAATGGGAAGCATCTACAGAGGCCTTTCTGTGAGACCTTGATCTTTATAACTGGTGTGGTCCATAAAGGTCAATAGAAGTTCACGGTATCCTGACATTCAAAAGGAAACAAACATACCCTTGCACAAATGTTGAGAGCCATTGCCAAGTAGGAATGACACATGGCATGACCCAGGTCATTTGCAGTGACATTGCTTGAAAGGTGACCTTGCTCAAGGACCAGGGCAGATCCCGGTTTAGGGCAGATCAGGGTTTAGGGTGGATCAGGGTTTAGGGCTCTCTTTGGGTTTAGG